CGATAAAATGAAGTTTTTTGAGGCTCGATGATAAATTCCTCCAATGCGTACCCTGTTTAATATCAAATCGGTTCAAATACCGCAAAGTCAGGCTAGCTTCAATGCCACCTTAGGTGGCATGAATATCGTTTTGGTTTGTGAATTGACAATTGGGATTATGAATATACCCCACGATGTACCTCAATTCGTGGTAGGGAGGTTAAGGAGGCTTAATTAATGAAGCAGGCATTCGGTACATAGTAAGTACCATTTACAGCTATACAGGCTCTACGCTTGCAATGCACACGTAAATTAAGTGCCACTAATATTCTTATTAGCTCATAGGAAATGTAAAAGCTATCACACCGAATTCCTTCATGATTAACTTCTTAGAAATCGACGGTGAGAACAAAAGCCGGCTTTAACTTATTCTCTGGTAGAACTCTAAAATGCACTGTCTCGTTATTATTACCCACAACAAGGCAAAAAAACCAATAAAATAGCAAAGATTAAAAAATGGAGTTGAATTGCCAGTGTCAAAAATTCCATACTTCATTTACTTTTTTGGTTTCCGACAGCACACCATGTTCTTAAATTAGAAATTTCCTTTTTTCTGCATAGATTTCTCCGAGTAATTGTGTCCTACAACGCCCATTGTTAACTGATCGACTGGAAAAATGACTGTATTTAAGTCTAGTTGCCTGTTAACTCGCCATATAAATTTCTCATCTTTGTGATTTGTTAATAACTTCTCAGGCTTCGAACATTTTCCATTTTCACCTCTGACCGTTAGTTTATAAACTTTGCCATGGAAAAAGTTGCCAAATTTTTACTTTTCATGTTATCGTGAATTAATGAACTGTGTTAGCGGCATATTGTTTATCTAATCTGCAAGCTTACCACAAATAAAAACTGAAAAAAGCGTCCACAGAGGATGTAGATATAAGGTCATTCAGATGTCGCGTTTTTCGTTGATTTACAGGTCGATGAACATTAATAACTGTCGTTGAATACATCTTCTCGGGAATGACCTTCTTCAAGATATTAAATACTCTCTTCCACACATTTTTGATAAGCGTAAGCAGTAATGGCTCAGAGCAATGAGTAAATGACGAGTGTCGTTAGCGTGACGTGGCCTCAAGATAATAATCTACGAGATTATTGCGTTTAGCAGATTGTCCCAACAGAAATCGACGCAGAGGTGGATGATAATCGCGCATTTTTCGCCATCTTCACACACCTTTCACCAATTGGTCACCGTAGTAAGATGCATTGGTGGAGAGCGTGGCATATGACTCAGGCCCACCAACGTGAGATAAAATAGAAGAGTATTTAGCTAACATTTATTAAAAATGAGTCATTTCAAGCTAAATAGGTCGCTGGTGGTCATGCTTAGTACCTCGCCTCAACTTTGCATTTTACTACTCAGCGAGTTCAACGTGTCTGAATTGGCTAAAAACTTCAGCCTGCGTAATCTGTTGAGAATACAACGTCCACTCTCCTAGGTGGTCTTGATTGAGCAATCATTTTTGAGACAAGTTTAGTCAAGGCAAAATTCGTTACAATGACACGGTTGCTAAAGCAACTAGACGATGACATACTGATCGCCATATGCAAATCGTGTCTGCAAACTGCAGTTTAGCCTGTGTTTTTTTGATGAAGGCATCCGTTTTTGAAGCACCCTTATTGATCGGTTCTTTTTTCTAGCTTTAGTCCCGATTGCCAGTTTATTTTCAAGATGAATCCGATCAGATTGGTTTGTCCTTAGAAGGAATCTTTTAAGTCTCTATGTCTTTTAGCAAACAGGATGTAGCATATCCACTTCCTTTCCTGGTTAAGATGACTTTTGAAGATATTAGGAGGGAAGTTGTTAATTTTAATGAAATTTTTGCTATTTTCCCCGAAAAATGATTTTTCTTTTGCAATAAAAGTGATAACTCGATAGGGAACAGGTTTGCTTATCAGTACTGTAGTATTTGAGGAGAGGGTTGCGATTCTGTAAGGAATAGATTTCTACTGAGCTAATACGATCGATTTCCTTTTCCTGAATTCTTGAAAGCCATTAAGATTATTTATAAGACACGATTTACATGCACTAGGTTGGAAAATCATCGAATATTTTTTATTTGAACAAAATTATTTCAAATTATTTAATTAGTCAATTTCCGCATAAAATTTAATACTTGAACGCAAGTGTTTTTATTCGCCGAAGTGAAAAGTAATTAAATTTTGATATTCTAATTCTTGAAATGCAAAGATTCCCTTGGAGTCCCGTTTTCATTAATTTAGAATTTTCTTATAGTCTACAGCTTCTTTCGACTGGAGGTAAATGTAGTGACGGAAGCTCTGTCTTTCCTGAAATCAGGAATGATTTCACCTATGTAGTGTCACAATCCAGTTCGAAATTTTCAAAATAAGAAGCTTTAACTCTCAAATTGCATGAATTTCAAGAATGGGAAACTGGACCCACCACTTTTCATCTTTATTTCTTACATAATTTACACTTATTTCGATAACCAGCTAGGTGTTCAACACACACACACAGTTGGCAGATATTGATAGCATTTTGCCGATGGGCAGTTACCCCACATTTTATTCACAATGCGAACGCGGTGAATAATTTGTTATTGCCTATCTAGAGGAACCGTAAGTGCGTATCTGTTTCAGCTGTGGAAGAACTCAGTGTGTCTAGTTCCATCATTAGTTTATTTTATGGTCGTCGGTGGAGTCTTTCGATTGTAATTCGTTGACTACCTACTGCCGAATGGAATAGAACTTGGCAATAGGCACTAAAACGGCTGTAAACAAGGAGAAGAAAATGGCCGACGATGGTGCGCGCCCTCCTTTATATGTTTGCCTTTAACTATAATTGACCATAACAGGAATTGATCTACGCCGTGTGTGTAGGGTAGGGTAGGCGAACAATTTGGGGGCGCTAAGAAAACTAATTAATGTGACCTTTAATCGGGAATTCAATGAAATTTCACATTCTTCTCTGGCAGCCTGCTTAAAATCTGCCTTGGGTGATAATGAAAGGCATAATTAATAAACCTCTCGGCAAATTGACTGATTTCTTCCTTGGCAAGAACATTGAAACTCTCCCAGATTATCTAGAAGTGTATCCATTAACTTGTGTGTGTGAAAAAGACATTAATGTGAAGCTCACAATCTGCTACCCTTCCTAATGATCCGTATTAACTCATGCCGTTGGCTATCTAAGTCATTTAAGGTGGGCATCCATTTCGTCAATTTCTGCCATAATGGAAGGGTACACTGAACGCTGAGCCACAAATCAGTTTCAAAACTAAACTGGTTAAGTATAAACGTTTCAGTTGGTGTTGGTCCAGATTTAGGAATCAAGTAAGCCTATAAAGCCATCCTAAAGACTTTTGAAAATCATGCATTTAGAATCTTTGCCATCACGCCTCAGTTCTTGTCACATCAGTTAAATCGTCTTGAAATAGATAACAAATATGAATAATAAGTTGAGATTAACTCTTAATTTTTGGTCATTTTCTGCGCTGAATCTCTAGATTGATTTGGTCTTGATTCTCTAAGGTGTATTACTTCTAATCCTTTTCATTTCAGGCGTACGCGCTAGGATCCTTCACAGCTAGCGAACCCTTGATACAGATGAAACCCCCACGATAAACTTTTCTACGGACCGATACATGCTTTCAATGTTTTGTAAAAATCTACTTCTTACCTGGCTGCATTTCCTTTTTATCTTCTTGTACATACAATTCGTCGGTAAGTCTACATCCTCCCACCTTGCCAAATGTATATACATCTATGAATGAATATATTTTACTCTCTAATATCCTCCAATACGACGGGTCATTTTGATTGCACTTTCGTAGGATAAACAGTAGGAAACTAGAGTAAAAAGATGCACCAGAGAAGTCGCAAAAAAACGGAGATCAAGAAAGGTCAACTCTTGGCATTGCTTCTCAGGAAAGTTTGGGTAGTAGTTTCTCTTTGGGGTTTTGGTTCCTTGCGAGACAGCACTGCGCCATTAACGACATTTAGTCTTTGCTTCCACTTTCCATTTCCACTTCTCGAAGCATAGTACTTTCGGTTACTCTCTTTTATAACCCCTCGAGTTTCCATTGGTCAATTTGCGGGTGGGAACGCAAACACCCCGAATTGGCGAGTTGTATTTCTTCCTTTAGAAAATCCCATTTGCTGACCATTACCCACGTGCTTCTACATTTATCTTGCGGCCTTGGTGCTGAGAAAGGCATCTGAAGCATTTTATTGTCCGATAATAGTGAAAAAAATTAATGCCCCAAATGATGGTTGGCAACTCTGCCCAAATCCAGACAGTTTCTAGGTTGTCAGAAATTAAAAATAAATAATGAGTATGTTGTGTGCCGCTAGATTTGTTTACTTTAAAAGGCGAAAAAAAATTCATTGACTTTGTCATATTTTGGAAGGTTTTAGAAAACAAACTTTAGCGTAAAAAACATAGTTGGACAATTTGTACAAAATCTTTCCTTGCCTTATTTATGAATAAGATTACTATTTAAAAGGAAAATTGAACATTAAAACAGACCCTGTTGGGTGAATTTCGGTCATAATTTTGGTACAGTTTTTTTCTCCACTTTAAGAATGTATTACCTGAAATTAATTGATTGGATGAATTCAAATCTTAGGGAGATGTGAACTGGGACGTTTCCAAGACAGAGACCAGTGAAATTTCGAAATTATTGCAGTTGAATTCACTTGTAGGTCTCGTGTGATTTCAATGAGCACCGATAGTTAGAGGTGAGTTAAAGGTCTTTAATAAGAAAACACTCACGCCAAAGTAGGGTAGGTATCTTTACAGGCCAGTTGTGGCATATTTCAGCGCATAAAATCTTGAGAAAATAGAAGTTGGCAATTTTGATTCACTGAGTAGTCGAAACTTTACTAACTGAACCTGGTTATCGTGTACTGGAATGTTCTATTTTTAATAAATGAGCGAAAGCGAGTCTTCATTGAGTCGCTCTACTTTCTGAGGTCATTGCACTGTCTCGCTGATGTTGGAGGCTAGTATCTCGTGCTGGTAGTCCTGAGCTGATGTTGAAACCTTCGGACGAGGTACTTTATTGAGAAATATTAATAGAATAGTGAATTATTTATCCTTGAAGCTCTGGATGCATCTCTTAATCCTTTACAAGCTTGGAATCGAAAATCTACTAATAGACAGTGTCTGTGTGATTTCAAATACAACGGATGATTATAAGTAATCCGACAATAATGATTCACTAATATGCAACGTCGGAAAAGTATTTGTACTTTTGAGATGATTACGATGATGAATAAGGCTCCTGAGTAGTAAATTCAGCGAACTGTATAGAGAGAATGGAGCATTAAGTCAGGGCAAAGATAGATTAGTTTATATTGTCTATTAGGAACCATACATAAAATTAGAGTAAGATTAAATTCAGATAGTACAATTCTTTTTTTCTGTGAATATTCGGTACAGATATACCATTTTCCAGGTTGAGAGTTCGGCTATTTGGTTTTTCATCAACTTCTATGAAGTAGGAAAGAGAGAAAGAAAGCATTTATTGTTTTCCAAGGTCATTAAGGAAAATTTGTAAAGTAGATGTTTTGAAAAAAAGTGTAAGAAGTGAAGAATTTATATTGCAATAACTTGCTCTTTACCATTCCCTTTGTTGACCAGAATTAATCAAATTGGTTGGTCATAGTCATTAAGGGGCGTGCAATGACAGGTGCCAATCTCGTGATTTCGTACTTTCAAGACATGCACTTTGACCATGCGGTACAGGCGCACTTTGAAGTTGTAAAATCTACCGACTCTAATATCGGATAGACGAACAAAAATATTCACAATCAAATAGAGTTTGATGGAGGCTATTTTCACCTTTTTTGCGTATTTTAGTTGGATCAGAAAGTCAAACCCGCCTGACTGCAAATGTGGCCTTGAATCGACCAGTTCCTGAGGGCACCGAGGTGACACTAATATGCTCCACTGACACCTCTAATGGCGATGGAAGTGGTGCTCTCAGGATTCTAAGACGTCGCAGTGGAGGGGGAGGCATTGATGGTTTTGAAGATCTCGCTAACTTTGCAACAAAAATAGTTCAAATCAGTCCCGACAAGCCAGACATTGCAGCGACATTCACGGTTTCTAGACAAGATGATGGAGCTGTTTTCATCTGCGGAGACGTTGAAACACTCGGTTTCCAATCTCAAAACCCTACTGCAACGGTGATAATTGGAGTTCAATGCAAGTTTATTTAATTTCATAACAAATTTAATGAAACTTATTTTATGATGATGATTATTTACCCTACCTTCTTCTCATGATTAAGAATGTTGTGCCTTCTTAAGTTCGAGCTACAATTTAATCTTTCAAATATCTAATATCACAATGGAATTAGTCCAAATATTCTTTTCTGGTTTATTCACTCCTACAATTTTTCTCTCCGGTTTAGAGAATAATCTGATAGTTGGAGCTCTTAGTGTCTCCTTAAACTTCTATTGACGGTGGAGAAAATAGGTTTGGCAAAAATTCAGATTTTGCTAACCAGAGATTGGAATCTATATCGTTTTTAGGATAACCTCTATGAAACGACTACTACTTTAAATAGGAGGGATGCATTTTTTGATAATCTGTATGTCATTTAATTATGTTTTAGCATTTCACAGCCACTAAATGCCATTTTCATTCAGCAAGTTCTTTGAAAATATATATTCCAATATTCTTAAATCACATTTTGAAGAAAACAATTTCTAGCTAAAAGTAGTTAAATAAAAGTTTCCCAGTTTGAGATAAGCGGGAAAAGGGTTCACGGCTCAGAATTTTTTTATACCTACTGCCTTGCTTCCGTGCCAGCATTGATATCGATTTATTGATTTTTTCAATAGTCTCAATTAATGGTTCCTGGAGAATTACCTCCCCTTTGTTTGCAATCGTAATCACTGTCCCGTTGAATATATCTTCTCTTTCCTTTTTATTCATATACAATCGATTGCAGTTTAGTATAATTTATTTGATTTAACTCAGCACATTTAAATGATAATGCTTTGCCTAGCTAAATACCATTCTATGGAAGTTGACCTACGTGAACTTTTTTTCTTGGTTTTACTTTTTTATCTGTCGGTGCATTCCTTGGGTATTAAGCTGCCATGCAAATCAGCCTTCATTTATGTCGTTAGAAGTGTGAAAGGCTAATTGCCGTAAAAACCTCCCAGACCTTTAAATCTGTGAACTGGCATTATAGGCGATAGGAGGCTAGAGGAGAAGTCAGTTAACTTCTGGAAGATTCGAACTTGTTAAAGTTGTCATGCGCACAACCCCCCCCCCCCACCCCCTCCCCCTTCATTAAGTGTCCGAAATTCTAGGCCAAACTTAATAATACTCGTTGAGATAATAACATTTTGCTAATTTAAAGGAGGCATTAATACAAGCGTAGATCATTTTTCTACACATATTTTTGTCCCAATTCGGAATGTCTTAACACTGTTTACAAGTGTGCAAGTCATTACTTCACCCTGATTTCATGCTAAAATGTTAGCCTTTAATTTGCGTGGAAATGGATCCCATTACCACCAACTTAGATTTCAATAAATGTTTATAAAAAATCAACAGTTATATATATTATGCTAGGAACATATTTTTTCTATTCGCGGCAATCGATGAAGGAATCTAGAATTAGAGACCCGAAAAAATTGGGGCTTTGAAAATGTTGCCACATGGTTTGGAGGGGAGGGGGTGTAAAATCTAGGCAGCCTGATAAATCCAGGATAAAAATAAATGACGTCAATTCATTCTCCATTTCTGGTCAAATTTGTTCCTAACACCTTGCAGTAGGATCTGAAACTCATCCAATGTAAAATTTTGCATTTTTCTGTTCATTTTATATAATGTTATATTTTTTCATAATTTTAATGCTTAACGGATTTCCTTTTTTTCTTGGCAAAGGAATTTCATCTTTGTTATTTAAATGTATTTTTTTTGAAAAGGTACTTGATGACAGTTCAAGGTGGAATACTATACCACATCCACATAGATGCAGAAATTGGATTTAGGGAATAAGTGAAGTGATTAATATTTAATTTTGTCCTGTTAAGCTCTAGCTCCTAATTGATCCTTTATTCATTTATTTTATATTTGATTGTCCTTAAAATTCATCCTAAATCAGGCCAGAGTTGGTGACAAATTTGTGAAAATGTCAATATAAAGTTTGGACTCACCATATATAAGTATAAGTGCAGTTAACTTGTTAACTTTCAGATTTTTCCTAAAATTAGAAATCTTTAAATATGATTTA